GGAAAAAGTGGAAAGACAAATTTTTATGACAAACGGATACATAAATCGTAAATTTAAGGAAAATAAATTCTAGAGCTTTTTCTGTACCTGGTGCATCTCTCTCATTCATTAAATTTAGTCGTAAATGACGCTGTCGAAGTAACGGTTAATTTTTTAACATTATACAAGAATTATACACGTTTTTTTCTACATCTCCTTAGAGATGAGATGTACGAAATTGTAATATCACTGGTTTAACATAGAAATCCGTGAGTAATATAAAATCGGACAGAGGAATAAAAATATCAAATGTTTTAATGGATTTTTAAACTCCTGTCAACTATACAGAACTATCGTAAAAACATACCAGTAAATTCTTATCGGTTGGGTTAAGTTATAAATCTACTCGTTATTCACGTAATCGGCCAAATATCTAGCGGGCGGGCGGCTAACAGCCCGGAGCCGGTCCGGATAGAATTGGAAGCGTTGGAATGTGTAGCATCGACTTAAGGTCGTAGGCTTCCACCGGATAAACCGGGTGATGTTGGTGCTCTGTAAAGCGCGTGCGCAAATTTGGCTTTTTATGAAAGCCGAATTTATTAAAATAAATTGTTAAATATTTTTTCTTTACGAGGATCAGTTTAGAGCAGTGTTTTTCAACCTGTGGGTCGCGACCCCCAGGGGGTCGCGAAGCCTTACACGGGGGGTCGCGGGTAAAAGAAAAAGACAAGTGTTTGTAGGACCTATACTATATTAACCCTGCGTTAGTGCACTGAGTTTTTTTCGGCATTAGTGCAGTGGGGCGTTTGTCAACCCCAACATCTTTTTGGGTCCATAAACTATGTAAGTAAAAATTCATAAAGATTTACTCATTTATTTGGTAAAGGCATGTGTGATTATACATATGATTATATTCAGGTATGATTACATATTATATTAGTACATAAATCCTCGAAAATAAAAAAGAACATTTATCAAAACTCATTACATTAGATCTTATTATTAAACCAATAGTAAAAATCTAAATTGTTTTTTAAGAAACTACAATTTCAGCGAAAAAGCTGTATCTGTTTATTATACAGTACAGTTGGTTTTTTGATTGACATTTAGGTCTGAATGATGGGTTTCGCCAGGGAGGGGCCAGAAAATGATAGCCGAAAAAGTGCTGAGATGACTCGTAAAAAAAGTAATAAGTAGAAAAGTAGGAGTTAAAGACTATCATCCTAAATAAAAAAAAAAGGTCAACAGCACTTAGAACCCAATGTTCTTATGAGAGGGAAGTATCATACTATACGTGTCCTAAGTTATTGTTGATCCCTCTTAAATTCTCATTTTGGCCAATAATAATTTCTCTCAACAGAAAGAAAATTAAATACATAACTTTTAAAATCACTGATATAGTTTTAATATGGCCCTAGGGGGTCGCCAGAACTTTTTCACTTGTAAAGGAGTCGCGTATTCAAAAAGGTTGATAAACACTGGTTTAGAGAAATAAACAACAAACCGATATTTAAAACGAACGTAAAACTTTTTTCCCACAAACTTAATTTTGTGTTGAGGATGATACATCCAATGTGTCTCCCGGAATGTATGAAAAGACGAAAGAAAAACAACTATTGGACGGAGGCAGTAGGAAAAACCCAAAGACAACCCCCTTTATAAATAGGGGGGGTCGATGCGTCAAAAAGTCAGTCTCCGGAGTTTGGTTTGAACTGTGGATTTACGTGAACGGATTAGCCGCTACCCGGAACTGTTCGAATCGTCGCCTAAAGAAATATCAACGTTCGAAAGAACTTTGTTCCACACAGAGACTCGAAGACTAAACGACTATTTGCCAACTTATATCAAGGTATTTATCCTCGCGCGAATTAAATGTGAACTCTTTCTCATAAATACAGGTAATTGGGAGAGAAGTAGATATGTTAACTGAATCGATTGTATATAGCTTAAATAGGACAATAAACGGACATTATGTATAGATTATGTAGAGTGTAATCCCTCTGATTCTCTCTTTACGCCTCCACCTCGGAACTAATAGTCCACATACGCGACTGTTCGCGCGTAAATTCGAACGTAACGGTCTCTGTGTCTACCCAGAAGACACAGTGGTGTCAGTCCTGATAAATTTGTCATTGCCGTCTTCGCCGACGAAATGTCGACCCTTTGGTCCTGTGGTGCCAAAGCATAGAGGGGGGCCCTTCGGCATTGTCACACAGAGATTCCACTCCGCCACTAATATTCGAATATACAATAGCAATCTTATTTTTTTTTCCACGTGTAGTATAGAAATTTGTAATAAGATACATAATGCTGTTATAATGAAATATTGTACGATTACTTTCGTATAATTAAAATTAGTATGTATTTATTTTTTAGAAAATACAAGGGAAGCGGCTAATACAAGCGAAAATACAAGGGACAAAGCGAAAAATACAAGGGAAGCCGCTTCTAATGACAGCACACCACTGGTGGAGAAAGTTGGTGCTTTGTAGGACTGTAGTTTCCTTTTGCCTGTTGCTCAGTCGTTTTAGATTATAAGCTTAAAAACATATATATAGTGTACGTTAAAGTATGTAGTTGTCCGTCGAAGCGATTAAAGCTAAGTATCATTTAAGCTATCCATATTCTATAGTATAGGACAGGGGTGGCCAACAGTTTTTGCCCCCGGGCCAGATTGGAAAGAAAACTTTTTCCACAGGCCGAACCAGAGGCTGCCCTAGGAAGATTTTGAGGTGGTGCGAGATCTCATTGTAGTTCACCCCGTAGTAACTGAATTGTAGTAGAGATTACAGATACATTTTCTACATTATCATGCTTTGTCAACATTCTACGCTGTACTTAAGAGATTTGTAATGAAGGATTAACTCTAAACGCACAGTGAGTTGGTGACCTGGTTTTTTTATTTTTAGGCGTCAGAACTTTTCATCGAGCTATTCGAACTTCAATACCTAATATTGAAAAATTGATCGCGGGCCACATAAATTCATTAAATGGGCCGGGTTGGCCATGCCTGGTATAGGATATGAAAAATTAACGAATGTAATCCCTGTGCATGTGAATTTCCAAATGAAATGTGAATGTAAGTAGAGTACTTTACATTTCTAGATATTTTTACATTTATGTTGTGAGAAAAAAATCAAGACCATTTCGAAATTCTAATGTCGAAAGTAAAATTCACAAATTGGAAATACAAGCCATAACAGATTTTATTGCATTTGGACTGTCAAATATCTTCTGGACGCATTGAAGGAGTAGTTTTATCACCATTACCCGGTATTTAAATGTAATTGAGATTAATATAATAAAAGCTACGACGTAATTTCAAAACTAATGGCAATTCTACAGTAACAATAAAAACAAATTGAAGAAGCCAACCTTTTGTTTTTGAGTGTATTTATTATTAATTACTATAAAAGGACAATTAAAATAATGACGGTAATTAAAGTAGTTCTTCGTTTTATAAGTACGAAGAATCAACTAAATAAAAGTCTTTCATACAAAAACAGTTATTATTGTTTTTTGTATGAAAAATGATTTAAATTTTCGTTTTGCATTCATTTGATCAGAACTGTTAGAAAAATACAAATAGTTTCTATCACTTATAAGAAATACTATTTTAATTTTAACAGAATGTTACAAATTTTCACAGTTATATGTCAGTTCTGATATATGTAATTTTTTTCTTTCGAATTTACTTTTTAATTTTATTTAAAAAAATCGTATTTAAAACTACAAATATTAGTAAATGTAATGTGATTTTTTTCATATGAATATAACTAAACTTGATTTTTGGCGAATTTTTAAAATAATATAACCTGACTGACCTTGAATGACCTAAATGGCCCTTGGTCGTTAAGGAAAGTAGAAGAAAGTACGGCGGCGGTACTCCTGAGCAAGAGCGGGCGCCGTAGAATTAAACGGGCGAGACGTAAAACCATCTCTCACCAGCATTTCGGCCATCAGTTCCGGTTGTTCTACCACGACGCAGGCAGGAAAGCCAATGACCGACATCGTGAAAGATCGAAAAAAAAAAATAGTGTGCCGAGTTCCGAAGAAATAAAATCAATGGGATTTACGTATTTTTGGCTCCGACGTAGGACATTACGTTTTGATTTAAAAATTTCAGTACGAGTGAAATGCAAATGGCAAACACCAACTGTTGGCTCGTGTACTCGAACTGGTAGATGCTTTCAAATGTTTTAATAAAAGCAGTGGAATTCTCGACGCAGTCTTGACGATCATTTCCTTGTGCCGATTGACGTCGATACCCAATTTCGTAGATTGTAAAACCGTCATTCTGAAACCATATTTAATTTAATATATTTTCCACTAATAACCGCTGGAAAATTTTGAAAAATCAGTTGTTAGTGTACACTACAATCGCGTACTCTACNTTTTCATTAACAATGACCACTTATCGTATAGTATAAAAATAGTTAATTTTAATAATATAATAATTTATAGTATTTTTTGTTTTATTGTAATTAATGTAAATATTCTTAGTCTAATTGAACATGAAATGAAGTTTTTGCCAGGACACCCATGAGATCGTTTATGTCAGCAACATTTATGTCGCCTAGGAGTCATCTAGATATCGGGTCAATGTCATTCATCTTAACTTACGAGAATGCCTCCATATCTAAGTTCACTTCCCAGTGCTATTGGCTTCGAGTGATGACTACGGTACTAAGCCCATTGCTACAATTAAGCAGATGTTATTGATGCTTATATTGTGGGTCTCTAATTCAGCAATATAATATAGAATATTTCCAAAAATTTTCGCACCAATGTTAAGTCTGCTTTGATTGAGCAGTAAAATATTACAATCTTTGTTGATCAACTAAAACGTTTTTTTATGATATTGCGATTTAACTTTTCAGAGGTTTTTTCATAACTGATTACATTTATTTTTTACAGTGGCTGCTTTATTCTTTTGTTATGTTCTTGTCACTTATTGCTGCTCTGTTCTTCTTTGTATTCTTCGAATCCCCATTGAACAGTCTTCTGTCTATCGTGCTAAGAAGTAGAACATCGCAAGAAACAGTAATTCCCAATCAAAACGTTACAGAAATGAAGACAGGAAAAAGTTCAAAAATTTCTGTTTTTTGATAAACGTTGCAAATTATATTAACATTATATGTGCTGATGAGATAAGACTATGTTAATTAAATAACTATAAGTACAGTATATTCAGTATGAGTTATTATGACAATGTCATATGTCTCGCAAGTGGTATAAGGTTCTGCTTGATCTTTATTGCTGCTTTCGTATACTTATATGATTTTTTCTTGTAAACTTGGTTCATACTACTTACATTTGTAATAATCTTTTTATAATTTTCCTGACTGTTATGTTTTATAATATACACAGAGACTGTAACTAGGACCCAATTTAACGTCTAACAGGTAAATAAAATAGTAGCTAACTAAACTCGTTGGAATTAAATAATTGTTTATCTTTGTTTATTTTGAAACTGTGTCTTCTTTAATTTGTTTTTTTCTGTCACATCCAAGGAAAACCTTGTAAATACCGGCATCGCAAGTGTGATCTATGTACTGTTCAGTCTTATGCCGAGAATGTTTAAGTCTACAAATTTTTAACTGTAAATATGTAATTTTAACCAAGATATATCTTGTTAAGAAGTTCTAAATAATATATATCACAAGAAAAGCCGACAGCAGAAGAGCGTATACCGAAACGTGTATTGGCCAAAATAAATTTTTGAATATAGATTAGTGTCAAAGATATATAGTGTCTATTTATGCATTTAGCTGTGACAGAAAAAACCAATTTTTTACTATGTTAATATATAAGAAAGATGGAAATATTAATATTATCTATATAAAAGAATAATAACTACAGTATTTATTCTATAATGTACACCATAATTAAGTGACGCGGTTATCAAGTATTTCTAACAAGCAGTGTTTGTCTGCTACTGTAAAATTTACCACTGCTGTAATAATGATTAGCGCATTTATTCCTAAATACGAAAAACCCTTATCAAACTGCAGTAATTTATATACCATATTTTATATCATATTTTAACGGTCATAACGTTTATTGGAAATCGCCATACGAGTAGCAATACCGTATTGTAATGAATTATTTGAGAGAAGTGCGTGGAATAACAAGAAGTTACTATGTGAGAATGTTGGAGGAATGTTAAATGAAGCCAACTGACCAAGAAGTAAGTAAATTGATTCTACGATGATTTGGCCACGTTGAGAGAACAAAAGGAGAATAAATGTTGAAGAAAGCATATATGAAAAAGGTGAATGGGAAGCGTGGTTGGGGAAAGCCAAGAAAGACTTGGTTTGAACAAATGGATAACACAAGCCGTTCTTTCAGATACTTGAGTCAAAAAGAGAATTGAGAAATTGTTCTTGAAAAGACACGAGTGTGTCTGAAACAAATGTGTGTCTGCAAAGGAAGGCGTGGAGAAAAGGGGCTTGCCGTGAAATTTGATGATAGAGAAGCTGTGTTTTTGTAACAAGCCGACTTCCAGGGGCAGTCAGTAAGCGATGGTCTAGGGTCCATTCGTATTCGTTTGTTCAATAAGCCAGTAAAAACCGTAGACTTCTCAAAATGTATTTTTAATTAATAGATTATCTAACGCGCTTAATAAATAAGCGAGTTCAATATAATTAACTCTGTTATATTAGATTTTATAGATTCTCTACGCCCTCTAAATGCCAATTCTCGCTTCGATAACTTCTACTAATTAAAATATATCATATATCTATTAGCCGTACTATCTTCTTATAATTTTCAATATATATTTTATATTGTGTACTAATGTTAAATTCTATTCTATTTTGAATTCCAAATTGCATCAATTTTACGAAAGATTCGATGTGAGATTTAGGATTTTCGTGTCTTTTGCCAGCTTTATTAAAATTATTTAAATCGTCAAAGCCAATCTCATTCCACATACTAATTTTATTTGAAAATAGTAGGCAAGGCCAACAAAACAATTTTTGCATTTTTATGCATCCACAGAGCCATTTTA